CCACACTCCCCCCCCCACCCTCTTCTCTTCCCCCTCCCCATCCGCTGCAAGATCTCCATCTCCTTACCAACTCAAACACAAATGCCAAAACGAAGGGGGTAGCCTGGGAAGCTGGGTGATGCTCCCGTGTGCCTTTCTCTCTGGGTCCTCAGCTTTCCCCTGTGACTCCTTGTTGCCCCGTTATTTCAATTGGGGTGGGCTTAAAGAAATATGGGGTATAAGATGGCATTGGGGGAATGGTAAATGAGACCACTCCTGAGCCCCCTACCCTCTACTCCCCAATCACCAGACTCCGCCAACCACCCCCATCCCGGCAGGAAAAAGCCCCCTTATTCACGGTGGCTCCCAGTGCTCGGTGATTTGCATGCAGGAAGTTTTCTCCGGTCTCACCTAATCTAACCTGCTGCATTGTAGTTGCCTCTGGGACCAGCTGCTCCTCAGAAGTGCTCCCCCAGCATACTGCTTCTGTCTCCCTTGACTCCTCCTGCCTGGATGAGGCTGGGGGTTCTGACCCAAGCCTGTGGTCTCAGCCTCCCCTTGAGGGAGCTGGGGATGGCCTACAGCATGTGAGCTGGGCCCTCTCTGTCTTTCTGAGCCCCTAGCGTCTAACAGCTTCAACTCCCAGCACCTTCACCCTCCACAGCCTTTGCCCCAAATCTCAGGAACACCATGTGGAGAGAAGGCAGGGTTTCTCCCAAGCCCCTCGCAGTGGAGATAGAGAGGAGGGCCCCCAGCTGAGCCGATGGAATTAACAAACTTTGGTTAATCCTTGGCCCCAACCGGAGAGTTGGGATTCTCCTGCCAACTTTCTGTCAGTCACCTCCCACATCCAGCCAACTCCATGGCAGGGGACACAGAGGACCAGGACTAAAGAGATGCTGTGGACTCCCTCGCGCTTGCTTAGGTCCCTTCTTCTGGGCTCAGGTTCTCCTGTCATAGAGAAGGTGTTGGAGACCCCGTATGTCCTGAAACTCTCTAGCCTCAACCCAACTGCAAGGCCAGGCTGACTCTAAGCTCTCTTGGGCCTCAGCACAGTAATGGGTGAGGGCTTGGGAAAGCCCTGCTTTCTCTTCTCCACATGGAGCATCAGGAAACAAGTTGAGAGATATAGGCCTTCAACGCATTTTGAAGTGTGGGCTTTGACTCCTAGGAACCATCAGAGATTTGAAGCAGGAGAATGAGGATGGGGATACACATTTTATTAAGATCCCTCAGGTTGTCGGTATTGGGGCTGAAAACTACTGTACCAGTCCAGGCAGGAATTGATGAAGCCTGGCCCCTCCCTGTCAATATCTCCCAACTTGTCTCCTGATACCCCACGGCTCCTTGCTGCAGCCACACAAGGCTTCTTGCAACCTTGAATGTTTTAAGCATTCTCATGCCTCCATGCTTCTGTACACACAGCTCCTACTTTCTGGAATGTTCTTATTTCGCCTCTAATTATCCACTTCCTACACATCCTCAAAGACCCTCCCACCTCTACTACCCATTCTCTATGAAGTCCACACCCCAGCTTATCCTACCCTGGAACCCTTCCATGGATCAGCAGGCTTGCCTGTATCCGGCTGGGAATTTTCCAATTTAGTGTATCTGGATTCCAGAGGGATAATGAGGATGTTTAGAATAGGGAAATAAGTGGAAGAGGAAGTCCAAAGTCTGCCTGCGTTCCTCAGTGATAAAGGCTAGAGGGAGCTGCCTTGGCCCAAAGGGCAATGGTTGACCAGATGGCCCAAGGCGAGATGGTGGAGAAAGATTGATATAGTCCAGACTAATAGTCAGAAATTTTGGTCCCTTCTAGGAATGTCCATTTGCTGGGTGACCTCAGCCCTCTTTGGGTCCCTGTTTCCTCTACCCTTCTCCAGATGGGGCCCAGCACTCAACTACATTTTGGTGAAGTTAGAGCTCATTTCCAAACACCCCCCCCAACTTTATTCAGAGACACCCCAGGATCAGGGTTACTTTGGGGGCTCCTACTTCCCTGTGCAGAAGTGCTCTGTGACTGTGCTCCTGGGGGCAGCAGAACTGGCTGGAGAAGTTGACCCAACATCCTTCCGCCCTACGATGGCGGGCAGAAGTCACCAAGAATCCTCTGAAGCCCTTGGTGATTGGAAAAGAAATGTTATTGGTCAAACAGCCACACCCTAGCTTAAGAGGGCCCAGCAAGCGAGGGCATCCCTTGTCCTGTCCTCAGAGCTCAAGTCTGGACTCTAGGTTACCAAGACAGAAACTCAACTGGCTCAAGTTGTAAAGAAAGGTATTGATTCATGCTGCCGGAAGCAGGGCTGGGTTCAGGCATGGCTGCCCAGGGAAGCCGACCAAGTCAGGAGGGCCCAGTGTTTCTCCATCTCTCTTTTCTGCATTTAGCTGTGTGGCACTCAAAGCCCTACCACATCGTGTTCCACTTGGCAACAAGATGGTAGCAGAAGCTCCAGCCCTTTCATCCCTTGAGGTTTCCAGTCCAGTGGAAAAGAACAAATCCACTTGCCTAATTGGTTAATCCAGAGTCCCAGGAATGAGCGTCCTGGCTTTGACTTGGGCCATGTGCCAGACACTGTGGCCAGGAATACTCTGACTGGCTCAAGTCTGATCCCACGTTGATTCCCTAGAAGAGGGATCATCAGAACCCATGAACTAGGAGAGGGAAAGAAGGTGGTTTCCCAGATGGAGATGAGGACATGGCACCAGAGGAGGGTAAAGGATGGTAGAAGGCAGCAACAATAGATCCACTACCATCCGTGTTGTGGGAGATAAGAGGCAGGAATGGGAAGGAGAGGCAGGCAAGGCTGGGAAGGGGCCAGAAGGCAGACTGAGCCCTGTTGCTGGTGGACAGTGGGACCGAGAAGGGACTTTGGGAACTCCAAGCAAGCAAGATGGCGGGACACAACCTGGAGTGGCCAGTCCCCAGGTTCCTCTTCCAGAGGCCACCTCTGGGATCCATCTGGCCACCCCTCTTCCCAGGCCTGAGCCAGCCACAGATCCCTTAGGACAGAGCATCTGGAGTGTTTCATCTGAACAACCCTATGGGCAAGAGAGGAAGTGCGTGACGCCAAAGAGGGATCACAGTGCATTTCCTTGGAAGTCTCATATCCTTTCTTTGAAAGTTATACAAATAACGTCATCCTCTCCATAACAGATCCGTGTTACTTTCAATGTGCCAAGTTTTAAATGACTGACCAGCTAATGTCTTTACTCCAATTGTCTGGTAAAGTGAATGGTACAAGATGGAAGCCAAGGTCACTGTGGCTCCAGGCCCGTGGCACGTGGGCGAGTGAGATCTGGATGTGGGGGAGTCTGAAAGACATCCTGGACAAGGAGGCTTTCCCTCGCACCTGGGCGTGGTCAGCTGTGGTGCTATACTGGGAAAGTCGGGGACCTCTGTGACAATGAGGCTCCACCAAGCCTTCAACAGGGGATGAGAGCCATTGAGGGGGAAGGGACTCAGCCGTGTGGCCCTTGGGCACTGAGTGGTCAGGCTTCAGCTTGAACCGCCCCCCTCCCTACAGCAGTGGAGAGCTAGCTCACTGGCACCCAGGGCACTTATCCCTCAGGGCGGTCAACTCACTTAGAACAGTGGTCAAAGTCACACCCTGGGTGCCTACTGGCTAGATGGAGACCCTCTTAAAGAAAGGAAATAAGGGGGAACTCCTCCAATCTGTGTCTTCCCACTACAAGAACCCTTTCAGCCCTAACCGGTTTGGCTCAGTGGATAGAGCGTCGGCCTTGCAGACTGAAGGGTCCCAGGTTCGATTCCGGTCAAGGGCATGTACCTTGGTTGCGGGCTCGATCCCCAATAGGGGGTGTGCAGGAGGCAGCTGATCGATGTTTCTAACTCTCTATTCCTCTTCCCTTCCTCGCTGTAAAAAAATCAATAAAATATATATTTTTTTAAAAAGAACCCTTTCAGTCATCAGGGGAGGTAGTTAAGGCCCATTTAGCCTACAGGGAAACTGAGGCCTTGTCCCCTGGCGGCGAGGACAAGCTGGAAGAAACACTGAGAATCTGATTCTGGCACAGCCTTGCTGGACTCTCCCCCGATGCCCTGTTTGGGACTGTGACATTCTCCTCCCTAAGCAGAAATGAGGAAGCTGATACGGGGTTCCCAGGGGCAGCAGCCACTTCCCTAAAGCCAAAGAGACAGGCAGAAGCTGCCACCAGCCCAGCAGTTCCTCCCTGGAGGCCTTCACCCGCCCTTCCCCACCCAACGGCTCCCCAGACCTGAATTTTCTGGCTGTTCCTAGGCATCCATCACCCCTACTTACATGTTGGCTCCAGTGCCAATGTTCCACTGGCACACAGGTCTGGCCCCACCCCTGATCCCCAGGTAGGGTGCAGGGGAGTGGACGGGAGGGGATGAGGAAGCTCAAGCTTCTCCCCGCCTTCCAGAGGCAGAGGAGGCCTGGTGGGTGGCAAGCCATCCTGGGAGGGCTTCCCTTACTTCCTTAACCTCCCCACCCCCACCCCCAGCAGTAGGTCTGACTTAGCTTGAATTATTCAAAAGCTAAGAGGGAGGCAGTTGAGGTCTGGCAACGAGGGCTAGTGTGCCCTCCCTAGCTGGTGACCTGGGGACTGAGCACCTAGAATGGGGACAGGCGGGAAGATGCAGCCAGGCTCCTGGATTCCTCCAGGTCTGGCTCCAGGACCAGGAGGCCAGGGTCCAGCCCCTGTAGTGAGGTAGCACTAGCCGGGCCCCGCCCGTCAGAGGGACTGTGGTCGGGACGGAGGACTCCCAGCGCGCCCGCCAAGCTGGACAATGGCAGAGTCCGTGGGCCAGCTCTGGGCTCCAAGGAGAGGCCCTCTCACCTGTGTGGGCCGTGCTACCCTCAAAGAGACACAGCTGTTATAACCACAGCACGGTTGGGGAGCCACCAGGAAGCCATGACAGGGTCCTCAAGGCAGACCAAGCTTTGGGGACAATGAGCACATTTGGGGTAAGATCCAGGTCAGGGTCAGGCCTCGGTCTGGGGTGAGGATCGGGATTGAGTCGAGGTTGGGATTGGGGTTCAGACTGGAACTCGGGTCAGTCCAGTAACCAGGCCTTACTTGCTTGACCCATGTTCCTGGGAGTTTGTGGATGGGATGTGGGCCATGGACAAGGCTGACGGTCCCTTCCCTGTCTCTGTCCCGCAGAGCGGCTGGGACTGGGCCAATGTGAGGGATATGTGTGACTACTTGCAAATGATGAAGGTGGAGCGCAGGCAGTGCCTGGAGGAGGCCGAGCTGGAAAATGAAACAGCAGGTGAGCCCCCCGTCCCCCCCCCGTAGGAAGAGGGGTGCTGCAGACCCCCAAGGAGCTCCAGTTCTCACAGTGCAAGCCCAGATCCATATCACACTCATTGTATAGTGTTGGAGGAAGCAGCACCATGGGGCTGCTGGTTGGTGAGGAGAGGATGCTGGGAAAAGCTGGGGAGCCAGACAAAGAAAGATGGTGCCAACAGACCTCCATGTTCCCATCACTCATCCCAAGTCTGGGGAGCTCCCAGCTGTTACCTAAGGAGAGTATACAAATTGGGGTTCAGAAAAGTGAGTGCAGCCAGCTCTGCACTCGGAGGTCCATACCCCTCTTCCCCAGGAAAAGTGGGGTGATGTCTTCCTGGCTCCCCAGTCCCCTGCCGCCTCTGAGGCTGACAATTATGTGACCCCTCCGGGTCCTTCCTTCTTGGACCTGGTGCCCAGGCTCTCTGCCTCCTGCACCATCAGTGAGTGTGAGTAGCCTTGCCGATAGCTTTCACCCCCCCCCCCCCCCGCTCAAGGAGGGGTGGCCTCCTGTCTCCTCAGCCCCTGAGACTAAGCCTGGGTCCAGGGGTACTGCCCACTGCCAATGCTCCCACCGGGACATGGAGGCGGGGCCAGGCCACCGACAGGCCCCAGCAGTATGATCTGGATCGTGGACAGCTCAGAGAGGCCGGGACCCCAGACTCTAGGCCCCGCTGCATCCCTCCCAGGCCCCAAAGGCCGGCCACCCTCGTGATCCTGATGAGGTCACTGCTGGCACAGAGTGCCTGTCAGGTGCAACCAACACCCTGTCGCCAGGCAGCCAGCTAGGAATCCAGAGGAGGGCAGGTATGGGTCAGCGGGCAGTGAGCCTGCCCGTGACCTTGTGTGGGGCTCTGCGCATGTTCCGGCAGTGGCAGGTGCAGGTGTGTGCTCCCGGCCTGTGTCTGCCTGGTTCTGTTTCTGTGCCTCTGGGGTCTGAGCTCCATGTCTGACTCGGAGTGTCTTTGTGTGTCAGAGCGTGTGTCTGTGTAGCCTGGATGTGCCCAGATGTATTTGCCTGGTGTGCTGTGTGTGTGTGTGTGTGTGTGTGTGTGTGTCAGTGTGAATGTCTGTGATACACTATCATGTCTATGCATATGTGTCCAAGTCATGTCTCTGTACCTGTGTTTACTTGTGTCTGGTCTTTCCGGGTCCAAGTAAGCATACATGTATGTATGTTTGCATGTGTGTCTGTGGGTCTGTGTGTCTGGGAGTGCTTGTCAGTGAGTGTGTCTCTCTCTGTGCACACAGATCTATGAAATGACCTGGCAGAGGTCCCCACTCTGCCTCACCATCCCCCACCCCAGGCTCCTGGTTGATCTTTCTTTCCTGTTAGGTGGCAGCCCCCAGCAGGCGCACACAGCCAGCCTGGGCCCTGTGTCTCTGTGGGCCTGGTGACACGTGGTGGGACCTGAGGGGTCTCCCTGGGTGGACACACAGAAAATATGTCCAGGCCCAGCCCAGGACAACGGGCCTCCAGATGCCCGGCATTTTCTTGGCCGTCACCTCTTCTCTGCTTCCAGACCCTGCTGCCTCCTGCAGGAACCCTCCCCACCACCACCACCACACCCCCCCTGCCGGCCTCTCTTCCCTGGCTCCCGTGCCCCGCCCACTGGCCTGTGCCCAGCACAGTTCACCGCCCAGCCTGGTGGCACTGAGAGTCCTTGAGGCCAAATGTGACCTCCCTAAGGACAGGGCCTGGTCTCCCTCCTCTGTGCTGCCTCTGGTGGAGGCGGAGCCCAGTGCCGTCAGGGAGGCTAAACAGAGCCCCACAGAGAAAATTCCCCAGAGAATCAGCATGGAGCCACTCAGCACAGGGGAGCAAGAGGTTTGCAGGAGAGGGAGCATGTGAACAGGCTACCCCACTCGCCCCTGGGCTAGTTCCCTCGTTGCTGTGTGCCTCAGTAACTCATCTCTAAAATGGGAGGACTAACTAAGTCATTCATTGAAAGGTGGGGGGAAGAGCTCCTCCCATTTACAAAGGCTCCAGGAGTGTTGACTGATATTATTAATGGTCTTGCACAGCCAGCAGGATTTGACTGGCCCTACGTGGCCGCCAGAGAGGTTGGCACAGGAAGGAAGGAGGGACTGGGAACCAGTGAGGACAGAAGCCTCAGGACAGGGTGGGGCAGAAGTTCTAGGATCCCAGAGGAAGGCAGGCTGTGCTCCTGGGCCAGCCCTTGGGTGTCCTCTCAGGTGTCCTCAGGTGTCCTCAGGCCTCAGCGGCAGCTACCATTGGCTGCTGCAGGCCTGGAAGGTACTCCTCCCCGCTGCCCTGCCCTCCGAGTCCCGAGGCTCCTCCTCGAGTGGGGACATCCTTCCACCTTTTCTTCCCAGGCCCCCTTCTTGGGAACTCGGGAACCTTCGGACTTGGGCTGGGCTGGGCTTGGCTCAGCTGGCGTTGACTTTGGCTCAGGGGTTGGGTTTCCTGAACAAAGCTATGGGACTGGCAGGGTTGCAAAGAGACAATTAAACCTCCCTCGGGGGAGGGGATCCAGAGGAGTCCTAGTCCCTGAGAGGCGCCTAACCCCTGAACAGGCAAACCCATGGCATTTGCATCTGCCTATTAAAGTAGACTCCTCCAGACCCCACTGTGCACCCCTCGCCCCCAGGACCCGGGCTAGTACACAGCCTGTGATGCAGGATTTCCTCTGAACTCACCCCGACCACCACCCCCATCATGTTTCACAATTTCGCTGAGTTGGGGGCATCGTGTTGCTTTGTGAGTTGTATGAAGGCTCCTCAAGAACTAGCTGAACCCCAATATACCCATCACCCCAACGTAAGCAACTCCTCTTTAAAAATATATTGTCCATAAAAATATAATGCCTCCTTTACTATTATAAAATGAAATTCAGGACACATATTATTCATTTTTTTACTTTTTATTTTTTTATTAATATATACATATATTTATTGATTTCAGAGAGGAAGGGAGAGGGAAAGAGAAATAGAAACATCAATGATGAGAGAGAATCATTGATTGGCTGCCTCCTGCACACACCCTACTAGAGATCAAACCCACAACCTGGGCATGTGCCCTTGACCAGAATAGAACCGGACCCTTCAGTCCGCAGGCCTACGCTCTATCCACTGAGCTAAACCAACTAGGGCCACACATTCATTTTTTTAAGAAATGATGTTCTAATTGTAACATAAAAGAAGAAAGGAAAGGAATTTATAATTAAATACTCTCTAACAAAGCCAGGCCTGATCCCACTGGAAGATAAGAAGATTGGACCTATAAATATAACCTCAGGGGATGGGAGGCTATGGATGGAGGTTGGTATATAGCCGGTGGTTGCCTCCCTGGCTCCGATGTCAAGGGCAGCATTGCTGTAGGGAACATGCTTTTCCAAAACATTAAACAACTTTCAGTAAAATCCAGAACGCGCCAAAGCCCAGCCTTCTCTCCCTTTACTCAGTAGTTGCACTCCGGGAAAACTGTGCATGTAACACGTGCCATAAATACTTTGTGTTTGTATGGGAAATGGAGTGAGTCCAAGCTCTGGTCATTGCAACAGGATTTCACCGACGCAGGGCCCAGTGGCTCACTTGATAGTCTTTTTTTTTTTTTTAATATATTTCTTTATTGATTTCAGAGGAAGGGAGAAGGAGAGAGAGATAGAAACATCAATGATGAGAGAGAATCATTGATCGGCTGCTGCCTCCTGCACACCCCCTACTGGGGATGGAACCTGCAACCCAGGCATATGCCCTTGGCCGGAATCGAACCTGGGACCCCTCAGTCCGCAGGCTGACGCTCTATCCACTGAGCCAAGCCAGCCAGGGCTCACTTGATAGTCTTGCAGAAGCTCTGCAATTCATCGTTGTGCAGGGCCACGCTGGAGCTGGTGCCTGCCCATCAAATGCAGGGTGAGACCCCCAACCTGCAACAAAGAAATCCCCCACGACTGTCCAAAATACCCACAGGGCGCTCTGCCCCTCGCTGAGGACCGTGGAGCTGTAGTCTGCCTCCTCCTTGCGCCCTGTCAGGTCGGGCCCTGCACAGCCTGGGCGGGGGTGGGCCTCCCCTCTCAGACCACAGGCTCCTCGAGGTGGGAGCCTGGAGGAGGAGGAGGAAGAAGAGTGGCTGGAGGCACCTGGTGGCCATGCTGACCCATGTGTCCCCTGCCGTTACCCCACAGGCTGCAGCAGGATGTGGGACAACATCACCTGCTGGCCAGCCACCCCTCGGGGCCAGGTGGTCGTCATGGCCTGTCCCCTCATCTACAGGTTATTCTACCCTCTTCAAGGTAAGAGCCCTGGATTCAAGTGAGGGAGCTGGGTGGCACAAGTGGCGTGGACTAGAGTGGAGTCTCACCTCCCAGGGAAATGAGAAGGAAAGGGAGAGGGTCAAAGGGTCTGGGGCAATCAGGGCGCCTTCCTGGAAGAGGATGCTCTGGCACTAGGTCTTTGAAGAACTTACGAGATTTGATTTAACTCTTCACATAAAGATAACCATGTGGGAAGGGCTCACTAAATATTTGCTCAGCAATTAATAACTGATTGACTGACAGGTACTTGATTAAACCATGGCTCCCGTGTTCCGTTGTCCCGGTCTGCACTTGATTCAGTCTTTCGCTGCCTGGAGCCAGTGCCCTCTCCGGCTCCATGAAATCACCGCATGGCCTTGCTTACACACCTCGTCGTGTTCTGCTTAAATGAATGTTCACATACAAGGGAGAAAGAGAAGGGAGCCTCTTGAGGAAGTGGGCTTTCTTGCTAGTGAATAGTTAAAGAGGCTGACCTCGTAATGTGGTCCGTCAGCTATCCTTCCATTCCGTGAATGTTCATTCAGCACCTACTAACGTGCCCAGCACTGGCTAGACCAACATGCGGTGACGGGGGGCAGAAGACAGCCACCCCGTCATCCCACAGGGGGCTAAAGCTCTAGTTCAGCGGTTCTCAACCTGTGGGTCGCGACCCCTTTGGCTGTGAACGACCCTTTCACAGGGGTCGCCTAAGACCATCCTGCATATCAGATATTTACATGACGATTCATAACAGTAGCAACATTACAGTGATGAAGTAGCAACGAAAATAATGTTATGGTTGGGTCACCACATGAGGAACTGTATTTAAAGGGCCAGAAGGTTGAGAACCAGTGCTCTAGTTGGAGAGACATTGAGCAAGAAAACAGACACACGTGTCCTAAATGGTAAATGGTGCCAGGAGGGGGAAGGGGGGAGGGGGAAGGGGTGCAACGTAAAGCAGATGTTCAGGGACAGGAACTGAAGACCTGGAGTGTATGGGGAGCCGCCACGCAAAGATCCCGTTGTGGGAGCATCTGGAGAGAATCAACATCGGTGGGACAAGGTGGACTGGAGCGGCGGCGGCAGGGAGGACGTAGGGAGGAGCAGAACCTAGATATGGATTCGAAGGGTGCGCACAAAGACTCTGGGCACCTCTCACTCAGGGTGGCCTTGCCCTCTCTGGACCGCAGTCTCCCTGTTTGTAAAGTAGGCATGGGAGGTGGACCAAGTGGCTTCCTGGGGACAGGCCAGTTTTGGTCCCCAGTGGTGTGCCCTCAGCCGTGACGGAGAGACCCCGAGGCCCTCCCTGCAGAATCTGGGAGCGATCACAGGCGTGTCATATTCCAGATGGCACCCACCCAGCCCAGCACTCCTCCAGGGGAGCCCAGCCCGGGGCAGGTGGGAGATGAGTTACTCCCCCAGGTCCCATCAGCGCAGCCTGGCACCCAGCCTTCTCTTGGATCCCTGGAAGCGCCTACTAATGACGTTCCTTCCTGACACCCGCTAATTGCATTCCTCCTGCCGGCTCTTCCTTCTGGCCCTGCTGGGATTATCGAAGCAGCTCCTTCACTTGAGAACCTGGACTGCAGCCCACCATCTGACTAATCCCAAGACCGCCCGCCCCCCGGGGGGGCCCACGCGGTGCCTTTGTGCGGAGGAGAAAAGAGCTGCCCTTCCTCAGACAGAGCCAGCCTCTCACAGACCCACCCAGTGGCCAGCTGAGTATAAAGGAAAACAGCCCCGTCCCCATCAGCCAGGTGCCCACCCGGTGCAGTGAGCAGCCTGCTCAGCTCTCCTTGGCTGTGCAAGTGCCTCTGAGGATGACAGAGAGAAGTAGGAGACAGGGGTAGGGGCCGGGAATGTAAAGGAAACAGGGTGTGCTTTCCTGGGCAACTAGGTGAAGAAGGTGTGAGCAGCTGGCCTGAAGTTCCAAAGAGGGAAGTTCGTGAGGAAGGGAAGTGCAGGGAGGGGTGATGCCAACGCCAGCTCCTGGGGTACCAGGACCCGGGAAGACGTGTTCTCCCTGGAAGGGTTGGAAGGGACCTGGTTCTACAATGACAGCTGAAGAGACCTTGCGGAAGATAAAGATTGCGGAGGGTCCGAAAGAAGTCATTTTCCCAAACGGGGTCAGAGTACCTGGGTGGGGGTGGGCCACTCATTGAAGCGCCAAAGTGTTCCGGGGGGCCCAGTCCTTTAAGTCGTGGTCTGCGTGCCTTTACTCTGGTTTTTACCTTCAACTCTTTGAAGAGCCTCTTTTAGTGTGATGGCTATTTTGGTTGAAAACACTCAAGTCTGTGTTAAGGGGGTCTACAGGACACCTCCTCCCCTCGCCCCGCCCCCAACATCCTGAAGCTGCCTGGAGCCCCAGGATCCACATGCTTCAGCCCCAAGATCCTGCTGTGCTGTGCTGTGCTGCTTGAATCCCCTCGCACATGCCTTTGCCTGGGCAGGTTCCCCTGCCGGGAACTCCCTGCTTCTCCATTTATGTGGATTATAGATCGGCACCATTATCAGGTGTCCCCCAGCCACGCCTGCCTCCTGCCTCACCTGTGGTTCCTCGCCTGAGCCCCACCAGGTGTGGGAGGAAACCCAGGCCCGTAGGCCCAGGCAGGCTGGCCTGGGAACAGTGGCCAGGTCAGAGGGCTGCTGTCTGGACCCACAGGACAAAGCAGTCATCTGCCACACCAGGCCCTGTGACAAGGGTCAGCATTTAGCTCATGGCAAGGGCCAGGGATCATTCAGAGAGCCAAGGATCCAGGCTACCTGGGACAAGGATCAGAGCTTACATTGCACCTGGGGTCAGGTTCAGACATGACAAGGGGCAGGGCTGAGCCCAGGAATGCCCTGGCAGCCGGGGGGAGCAGGGGAAGGTGGGGAGAGGGAAGGCTTCTCCCTGCCCCAGGTTCCCCCATGATGCCCTGGGGTCTAGGTGGGAGTCTGACACAGCAGAGATTCACGGGTGTAGGGCTGAGGGCAGAGACAGCCAGGCCCCATGCCTACTCCACGGGCCTGCCCCTCCCCTGGCCTCAACCTCTCTCCTCCCCCAAGGCCACAACGTGAGCCGCAGATGTACAGCCGCAGATGTACAGACAAGGGCTGGACAGAACTGGAGCCTGCCCCCTACCCCATTGCCTGTGACTCAGAACCATATTTGGAACAGAGTTCCTACCCCACCCACCCCATCCCCGCCCCCGCTCCTTCCACTCTCTCCCACCAAGGGGTGGAGGTTGTGGCCCCTCCCTCACCAGGCGCCCCCTCCCTCACCAGGCGCCCCCTCCCTCGCCAGGCCTGCCTTTCCAGGGGCCTGCCTTTCCAGGGGCTTGTCCCCTGGCTTCCCCTGATGAGGGTGCTTTCATGAGGATGACTCAGAGCAGCAAAAGCTGAAGCCGCACCCCCGGGCCAGGCCACCCATTGCCTGGTGGGACCTTGCTCCAGCCCTGGACATGACAAGGGAGGGAGATTCCATCCTCCCTGTCACATGGGGAAGGAAAACAAGGAGCAGATCCTGGAGGGAACCAACTGTCAGTCAGGGACGGGGACAGGACCACCCCTCAGTCCCAGGACAGGGATCTGCCCCAGAGCGGGGGAAGCATAGGTGGTCACTGTCAGGGGCCAGGCAGGGACACGGATGGGGAGCTGGGGTGGAACTGGAGTCCTCAGCTAGCAGCCCTCGCTGCTTTGGTGTGTGAACCCCTGTGTGTGTCTCTGTATGTCTGTGATGACACCTGTCCCGCCCCCAGACACCCTTCTCAGATAGAGCCCCAAATGTGAAATCACCCACAGCGTCTTCTTGGCCTTCTCCATGCCCGCCGTGCCTCCCTCCCCACACAGAGGGAAGTCCTGGGGTGGGGTCTGAAGGGCAAGCAGTCTTGGTTCCGAGGCTGCCAAGCCCAGAGTTGGCACAGAGGGGGTGCCAGACCATGACTGAAGAATACAGGGACAGATGGAACATGTGAGGTTTTTTCTCTCTCTCCTTCCCTGACATTTCCCATGAAGGAGCAGAGGGCGATTACAGTCAACCCCCACCCTGGAGGCAGTCCTGTCTCCAGACTGGGATGTCATGGGTCTGGGTTCTGAAGAGGGCAGCTCAGCTGCCCTTGGGAGCCCTGGGCTTCAGCCTCCTCTGCCAAGCAGGGATGGGCAGGCAGGATGTGTAGGGCGCCCCACCCCTGCCAGTACCCCTAGGTGCGTTCACCCCAATCCCCACCGAAGATCCTCACCACCTCCCTCTACCAGCACCAGAATAGGTTCTACTTTTCCATGAAGACCGGCTACACCATCGGCTACGGCCTGTCCCTCACCTCCCTTCTGGTCGCCATGGTCATCTTGAGCCTGTTCAGGTAAGGTCCAGCCTCCTCTATCCTAGCCTGGTCCCCACAGGATGGCTTTGCACCTGGGGGTAGGGGACCGGAGGGCAGGGCCTCTGCTCTGCACTGAGACACCTGGAGGCTGAGGCCTTGGAGGCCCGGCTGCACACGGTCGGTTGGTCGGTCAGTCGGGGAAGGGATGCCTGGGACAGGGCCCCCGTTTGGGGCAGGACCAGCACTTGGGCCATGTGTTCTTTCCTCCGTACCCTTTGCTCAGAGCACTGACAGTGTTGGGTGGGGGTCCGAGGCCCCTTCGGCCTCCCAGCTCTGCCCATGTCACACAGGAAACTCCACTGCACACGGAACTACATCCACATGCACCTCTCATGTCCTTCATCCTGAGGGCAGCCTCCGTCTTCATCAAGGACCTGATCCTCTTCAACAGCAGCCCGTCAGAAGACTGCTCCGAGTCCTGGGTGAGGACCTGGCCACCGCCCTGTCTCTTCCCCCTTCTCTCTCTCTCTCTCTCTCTCTCTCTCTCTCTCTCTCTCTCTCTCTCCTTTCTCCTCTTTTTCTCTCCATGGATGGCCAACCCCCTAGCAGCTTGTTGAATCCCACTCCTCTCCCCACAATGGGAGATGGTGCCCAGCCATCTGGGGCTTCGAAGACCTGCCCCCACCAATGAGAAACGTCTCTCCTTGATGGGAAATAAACTTCATGGCCAGAGCCCACAGCCGCCGTCTCACATCTGTCCTAACTCCCCATGTGACTTTAGGAAACTCCCTGCCTCAGTTCCCCCATCTGTACAAGGACTTCCAAGCTTGCTTCCAGCTCTACCCTCTGCCATCGGCAAACCCGGGCTCTGCTCACCACGCCACCCTTCCTACGCCCCCTTTCCACGTGGAGCCAGTCCAGACACACACAGCCCCCGTCTCCTGTGCTCCCCGCCATCAGTAAGTCCGGGTGCTTCCTCGAGAAGAGAAATTAACAGAGCGTCTAAGAATGCATTGCTGTCACTGAGGGGTCCATCTGCAGGTGATTCTGAGCTCAGGAGTGTCCTCGAGCTGGGACAGAGAGCCGGAGACCAGCCCCGGCTCCCACCCCTGCCCCAACTCCATGAGTGATGGCAGACACCGCGCATGGTTTCAGGGGAGAGCAGTACCTTCTCCCCAGAGTTCATCTGTGCCCGTGGAATCTCAGGCATCTCGACAAGGGGAAGGAAAAGCCCAGGGGAGCCACCCTGGCCATTCCCAGAGCTCCTCAGAGGACCCAGACATATGCAGTTTCAGTGCAGAGCCTGGGGAGCTGCCTGCAGCCGCCAGCTCACTGGTTAAGGGTAATTGTGGAGCCTGGCTTCCCGACTCATTAGCAGCTCCGTGAAGCTTTTCGAAGGCTAGACAAACGCACATAAATGGTCCTATTAAAGAGCTGAGTTATTCTCGTAAAACAAGTGTACAACGGAAGGTAGGCAAGTGTACAACAGGAGGGTAGACTGTTCTCTGAGGATGTTTCAAAGCCAAGGGCACAGGAAGGAAGAGTGGGAACCTGCGTTCCAGATACTGGGAGGAATAGATGCTAGAGGGCTTCCTGGAGGAGGTGGCTTTAAGCTCTGGCTCACAGGTGGGTGGGCTTGATCTGAAATGGGAGACTGCTTCTAGGACAGCACAGGAGGCCTTCTTTTTTTACAGAGAAGAAGGGAGAGGGATAGAGAGTTAGAAACATCAATGAGAGAGATCGATCAGCTGCCTCCTGCACGCCCCCCAGAGGGATGTGCCCGCAACCAAGGTACATGCCCTTGACCGGAATCAAACCTGGGACCCTTCAGTCCGCAGGCCGACGCTCTATCCACTGAGCCAAACCGGTTCGGCAAGGAGACCTTCTAATCAACCCAGAGCCCCTGCTTTCCCTCCTCAGGAGTGACCTGTAACTCCCCTATTGTCCTCACCTACCTGCCATTGTCCTCACCTACCTGGGGAACCCATTCTTTCACCAGCTCCTCTGGCCCCCAGGAGGAATAGCCATCCCTCTCTTCTCCATTTTTTCCTCATTTCTCCTCCCCCCTCCACTTCTCTCTTTTCAGTCCCCATCTCTCCTCAACACTCATATCTGGGCCTACTCCACAGCCCAGAGCTCACATCCCCACACATTCAATGGATTCTTGCAAATGGGAGCAAGAATTGCCCTCACACCTCTTCCACCTTCAATCCTAATTGGAATATGAATGGGGGAGGGATGTTTAAGTGGATGAGTAAGTAGATGGATGGCTGAGTAAATAGGTGTGTGGATGACTGAGTAGGTGGAAGGACAGGTGGATAAAGTAAGAAAAAGAAAGGATAGATAATGTTAGAGGGGTAGGTGGGTAGATAGGTTGAGCAGGTTGATAGGGAGATAGATGAATGAATAGATAGATGGTTCGATATCTGGGTTGGTAGTAGATGGCTAGTAGGTGAGTAGGTAGATAGATGAATGGATAGATAGGTGAGTGTGTGGATGGATTGATAGATGGAAAGTGAATAGATGGTGGATGACTGCATGGATGGTAGATGGATAGATAGATGGGCGAGTTGGTAATGGATGTCTAGTGGGTGAATAAGTAGATAAATGGATAGGTAGGAAGAGGCATGGTTGGATGGGTAGGTGGTGGATAGATAAATAGATAAGAGGATAAATTGCTAGGATAATTAAAACACAAGTTTATTCCAAAGCATCAGATGATCTCACATCAAGGATAATTGGAAAACCACTGAGTATATTTTTAAGGGGATAAGAACAGAGATTAAGTCAGCTGTACAGCAACTGTGTCAACCCAGACAGAGCTGTGGGCAGATGGGGGCCGCCGCTAGCCCCAGTGAGACCCCTCTTCTGCTCCTTCCCTGCAGGTGGGCTGTAAGGCCGCTGTGGTCTTATTCCAATACTGTGTCATGAGCAACTTCTTCTGGCTGCTGGTGGAGGGCCTGTACCTGCACACCCTGCTTGTAGTCTCCTTCTTCTCCGAGCGGAAGTACTTCTGGTGGTACATGCTCATCGGCTGGGGTATGGTTCTGGGGAGGGTGACCAGGCTGGGGACATAGGGGACGAGGCTTGGGGAGCTTACAAAGGGGCAGGTACTGACCCAGCCTGCAATCCTAAGTCTTGCTGGACTGTAGGTCCTGCCTGCAAGTCTCTAGCCAAGGGTTGATAAAAGTCTCCTAAATGTGTGACCCAGGGCAGGTGCCCTGAGGCTGTGCCAGGGCTGGGCTGTGGGACAGACAGGTTCTAGGAACACTTTCCACCACCCCTTCAGCCTTGAAACACAGGGCTGAAAAAGACTCTCCCTGTAGGTGGGCACAGCCCCTCAGACACACAGTTTCAATCCTCAATGGAGCACAATGAACAACCAATGCAACCATACGGGGCAGCCCTAGTAACCCACCTGTTCTCTCTCCCTTCCTCTCTCTGGTTCTTCCTCCGTAATCTCTCCCTCATGCCCTCTCTCCCTGACTCCCATGCCCTCTCCTCTCTTTCTCCTTCGGCCCTGACAGGGGTGCCCAGCATATTCACCATGGTGTGGACCATCACCAGGATCCATTTTGAGGATTATGGGTGAGCTGTCACCCTACCTCCTCCTCCTGGCGGCCATCCCTTGGGTCACATCCCTGGGTGGGATGAGGGGGGCTTGGGAGCGACAGACTCTGGGTCCATGCCTCTGGGGACAATGGGAGAACTGCTGACCATCTCTCTGGCTGAGGACAATCTCTCATTCTCCCTTACCATCCCTTGCCCAGATGCTGGGACTCCGTCGGTACCTCACGATTGTGGTGGATCCTAAAGGCCCCCGTCCTCACCTCCATCTTGGTAAGACCTCCTCCCACCACTCAGAGATGGGGAAACGGAGGCCCAGGTTGGGTAGTCAACTTGCTTCAGGTCACACAGGAAATTCCAAGTCTAGGTCAGAACTGAAACCTAGGCTTCCCAATGTCTAACGCAGTGTTGCCGCCTTCCCTCTCCCCACTACCTCCCCAAGGCCTTAGGGATCATTTTTCCTCTAGAGTAGAGAAGAAGGATTGGGAGGCCCAGGCCGTAGGGATGGGAAGTAGAGTTCCCAGATGACTTGCCCCAAAGAGGGAAGAGCTAGGGGACAGGTAAGACGGAAGGGCAGGAAGGCTCTAGGGATGAGACGGGCCCTCCGCCCAGGGAGCTGGATAATCTTCTCTCTCTGACTACCCATCCTTGGCCTACCACCACCAGGTGAACTTCATCCTATTTGTTCGCATCATCCGAATCCTGGTTCAGAAACTGCAGACCCCAAATGTCGGGAAGAGTGACAAAAGCCCGTACTCGTGAGTGTGCCGCCAGTGCCCTGGCTCTCCCAGGATCCCCATGCCCCGTCCTCAGAGCATCCCGTGTCTCCTGTATGTCCCCCTCCAGAGTCACCAAAAGCCACGTTGCTCTTGCCCACCTCTACCCCATGGCCTGGCTCAGTCCACAAGTGTCCTCTGCCCCAGCCCCACCGGTCCAGGCTCATGAGTCCCACGTCTGCTTCTCCTGCAGTCACCTTCCCTGGCAGGTGATCGGACCCAGGTACGAATCTGCTGCCTCGCCAAGGTGCTGGAGAAGACAGTAGATAACCTGTGTCTTGTCCACACTGAGTGCCCAGTCCCTGGCATGTGATTGGCAGAGAAAAGGGGCCAATAAATGCAGTTAGTGAATGCCCTAGGGAGCCTCCAACCTACCAACAACACAGCCATATTCAGGACTCAGGACTTGCCAGTAATAATAACAACATCTGCAGTTCACATGCCAGGCATGTGCCAGGGGTTTCCATTCATCATCTCATTGCACCCCACTGCCCCCTATAAACTGCTCCTGTTTTACAAGTGAGGATACTGACACACACTCTCTCCTCTCAAAGGTTTGGGAGGATGCCGCATGGCAGGGGGAGGGCACCGTGTCCATGGGACAGCGGTCATGCTCCTGGCTTAGCAGGGTGTGAGGGCTGTCCCCTGTGCCGGGAAGGACTGGAGAAACAGGCAGGTTCTCGTGAGAACAATGGGCTTGAAGACAGAACAAAAGAAACAAGAAAAGGGTGTCTGTGGGCAGGTGAGTAGGCATCTGCATGCCCACAGATGGGAACAGGAGATTATCACCGCTGCACAGACTAGACACAAGCCTGGGCATTCTGCAAGGGCCTTCTAGTCCTGGGATTCTAGAACGTTCTTGGCCTGGCTTCTCTTTGGGGGAGTCTGTGCTGCGGTTTTAAGGTTCCCGGCTAGAACGTCCTGAGCTGCTGGAGTGAGGATTCTATTTTGGACTCCTGTGATCTCAGGGATGAGACTGAGATAGGCATGCCTAGGGTGTCCGCTTTCTCTCCTGCTGGGTGCGGGGGCGGAGCCTCTCCCAGTTGTTGAAGGGAAGGCCCTGCAGGGGGTGGCCGTCTGCCAAGGGGTAGGACCTCAGGCCTGCCCACGCTCACTCTACTTTTGTCTGTGGGCCTTGTTTTTCCCAACATTCAACTACTCAAAAGGGCTTGAATCCGAGGCAAAGAGAGCTGGTCATTGCCAGGTCCACGTGGGTGAGATGGAAACCGAACAGCTGTCGGCAGGCAGAGGGGCGGGGGACGGATAGGAGATGGAGCTCCCTGAGCAGGGCTGTCAGCTCCCACTCTCCACCTCCCCATAAGCCTTCACTCTAAAGAGAGCTTCCATCTGTCAGCCTCAGCGGGCCAAGGAGGGGTGGGCAGCGCTCGGGATCTTGGCAAGGCTGGGAACCAGGTCCAGGAAGGAATGGGAGAGGCAAGGCCAGTTTCCCTGCCCCCGGTTTGCTGTGGGGCCTCGGGCCGGGGACTAGGCTCCCCTGGGCTGACCGCCAAGGCAGGACAGAGAAACACAGAGACCCCTCCACTACTCAGACCTCTCCCAGGAGAGAACTGGTCTCATGGAGCCATTGTACTTCATAGCACCTAAAGCACTTCTCAGTCTACAGTGGGTCCGCTGTCTATAATTTGACCATGTGGAGCGTACACTTACCCCATTGTACAGATTGAGGGAAACTGAGGCCAGGAGAGGGAGTCTGGTTATCCTGTTGCCTGAGAACTTCTCCCCATTGGCTGCCACAGAGGCTGGAATCCCACCATCATGCATCGTCCTCGGGGCTCAGCACTGGCCCTCCTTTCCACTCTTCCAGAAGGATGAGGACAGAGGGGTTTCTTTCTCCCTCGTGCTTCCCTCCAGACTAGGAGGGCTGGGGCCTGAGGGCATAGACACCTCAGATATGGACCAGGACCAGGACCAGAGGCGGACATCACAGTCAGGGGGCCAGAGTTCTTCCTCGCACACCCTGGTTGCTGTCCCCATCTTCTTGGGGAGGCCTGTCGTGTCCACATGTACGGACACACCGACTCACTGCCTGCCCCTCCCTGCCCCCAGGAGGCTGGCCAAGTCCACCCTGCTGCTGATCCCCCTGTTTGGGATGCACTACACCGTGTTTGCCTTCTTCCCCGACAACTTCAACGCTGAAGTGAAAATGATCTTTGATCTCGTCCTGGGGTCTTTCCAGGTAGGAATTGTTGACTTACGGCTGCCTTCTCCTCTGGGCTGGAAGGGAATTCGACCTGGGGCCTCCGCCCCTTGCCACTGGATTCCAGTCTTTTCACTGTAATAAGTATTGATTAAGCACCTGCTGTGTACTTAGCCTTTTGCTTAACCAGGAGAACACGGGGCCGGGGGCTGGGCAGGGCTAGGGGCCCCTGTGGTCGGCCCAACTCACCTCCCTGTTCCCTTCCTCCCAGGGTTTTCTGGTGGCTGTCCTCTACTGCTTCCTCAATGGCGAGGTGAGCCTCCCCGTGCCCCCCCCCCCCCCCCGCCCAGACCTTGGGGTCCAGGGTCCAGAAACGCTGGTGGGGTAGGAGCAGAGCGAGGACAGGTTAAACCTCACTACTCCAAGTGTGGTCCTCAGACTAGTAACTCAATGGCGGCATCTAAGACCTAGTTAAGAATGCTGATTGCTGGGCCCACTCCAGACCTGCTGGCTTCGGGTCTGCATTTTCAGTAAACGCAGAGTGTGACAAGGGCCTGTTCAGGGGCTGTGTGCAGAGTGAGAGGAGAGGGTGGGGGCAGCAAGTGAAGGCTGCGTTACAGTGAAGCCCTGGTTACAAAGCGCAGAAGTCCGTTTGGATGAGCTCCGGTGGTCTGGAGGGCAGGGATGGAGCCATCCCTCTCCATCCCCGGACTGCATTCTCTGATCCTCTCTGCCTCCCTCCTCCCCTACTCCAAGGCCTTGATTTGACCTTGGCCCCCAGCGTCCCAACTCTGTATCCCCAAAGGGAGCATCGGGGTCCCTCAATTTAGACTCCCCAGGAGGCTTTGTGGGTGTGACCACCCTCCCTTCTCCCAGGTGCAGGCAGAGCTGCGGCGGAAGTGGCGGCGCTGGGACCTACAGGGCGTCTTGGGCCTGGGCCCCAAATACCAGCACCCACCCGGAGGCAGCAGCAGCAACGGGGTGACCTGCAGCACACAGGTCTCCTTGCTGACCCGCGTCAGCCCGGGCGCGCGCCGCTCCTCCAGCTTCCAGGCCGAGGACTCCGTGGTCTGACCGCCAGGCACCCAGGGGCGCAGGGAGGCTCCACCTGCCCGCACCCACCGGCCCGCCCTCCCGGGCGACACTGGGGACAGAGGCCTACGGGGCGAGTAGCCCCAGCCCTGGGCTCGGAGGCTGTCCTGGCCCCCAGGTCACTGTCCAGAAGCCCTGGCGCCGGCCTGGGGAGAGGGAGGTGTTTCTAAGCAAGCCGGAGCCCCAAGAGGTGCACCCTGGAAGGTGTGGGGTGGAGCTCAGTCATCAGACTCCTCCCCCAAAGGCTCTCTCCCAATCAATGGAAGGAAATTTGCATACTCAAGTGACTCCGCCCCCCCTCGTGACCAGTCGAGGGCGGCAACTACCCAGGCCAATACAGTGGGAACATGGTTGACAAAGGCTTTGCACGCCCCCATCCCCAAAGGTCCCCCGACACCACCACCTCATCAGTGCCTGAAGTTCCAACCTTGCTGTCAGCTTCCTTTGGGTTAAGTATCACCATTCAAGCATCTCTCTGAGGATGCGGTCCCCTCCCCCAGTGCCCTCTTAGCTGCCAAGTCCTGGAGGGAAGCGATGCAGTTGTGATGCGGAGTTCTGGTTTGGGGAGCACAGCTGTCTTCAGAGTCTCTGCCGAAGTGGGGTGGTCCCAGGATGATGACAACAATTCGAGGGGCTGCCACCAACCGTACCCATCCCCATGGGTTGTGGGAGCTGCCCTCAGCTGCCTACCTACAAGCCAACTGTGAGAACTAGGCTCAGAGATGTGCACTCGTGGGTCCCCTCAGTCCTCACATCAACCCAGCAAGGTGGGAATGACTGTCCCTGTTTCACAGATCAGGAAGCGGAGCCTCACAGAGCAGGAACCTGGCCTTGTCACGCAGCGGGATTTGAACTCAGATCTGGCTGACAGGAAAGGGAAAGCACAGACTTCTTACTGCTGCCTTTTATATCTTATAACATGCTGGATCCTCTTGTTATTTGTTTCACCACTCGTTATTGCCACCATCCCTGGAACCCCAACCCCATCCCACCTGACCCTCCCTGGCGTGTGGCTGTGGCTGAGGAGTCCTCTGGCCCATGTGTCATCTACACAACAGCCTGGTGGTCATGGCATCGTGTGTCTGCTCTGCACCTCTGTGGTCCCATGGCTTCCTGCCCACACCACAGCCGGAAGACCCTCATTTGTGCAATAATAAATGTTGTGTTGGATTGGCTTGGTTTCCCTGGTGGTCGATGTTCCTGTGTGACCTAAAATGGGGACTAGCTTCCAACTTGCTGCCATCTGTCCCCATTGGGAGGAGGGGTACACTGAAGCCAGAAGCTACCACCCCTCTGACTTTGGGCAGCAATGCCTGCCATGGGAGAAGCACGCAGTTCTAAGGGTCTTGGACTGACATTTCACGGAGAGGTATTCTCTCTTCTGAGTGTGAAGAAGTTATACCAGGTCTTCATTGTGTCCTTCCAGCCCCAAAGAGACAGTTCTATTGGATCAATACAAAACAGCTAACAGAGCTGCCCGCAGCCCCGGAAATGGTTAGGTGTGAGCATTTCCCAGGCCGCATCCATTCCTGCAGACAAGGGGCCCATGGGGTATGAGATGGCCGTGTTGCTATTGCCAGTATTCAGCCAAGAGGAGGAAGATAGAGGACAGAACAAATGTCACCAAAACAAGTGAGTGAGCCCTAGCCGGTCTTGCTCAATGGATAGCGCATCAGCCCACAAACTGAAGAGTTACAGGTTCGATTGCAGTCAAGGGCACGTACCCCCCAATGCAGGCTCCATCCCCAGCCCTGGTTGGGTGTGTGTGGGAGGCAACCAGTCATTATGTTTCTCTCAGTGTGTCTCTCCCCCTCCCTTCCACTCTCTAAAAATCAGTGCTAAAATATCCTCAGGTGAGGAGTAACCCAAAAAAGTGAGTGAGCAGAGGCAATACCACTAACAGAAAGGTTCCGGCGGTTCTCAACCTGTGGGTCACGACCCTTTCATAGGGATTGCCTAAGACCATCGGAAAACACATATATAATTACATATTGTTTTTGTGATGAATCACTATGCTTTAATTATGTTCAATTTGTAACAATGAAATTGGGGGTCACCACCACATGAGGAACTGTATTAAAGGGTCGCGGCATTAGGAAGGTGGAGAACCACTGGTAGACAGAGGCAGTAGGGTGAGGTGGATGATGTCAGTCAGCAAGCGATGTCTCCAAAGCCATTGCCTGAGTTGACCTCCTTGGCCTCCACTTTCTACAAACTTACAAGGAGGTGTCTTGCTGCAGGAGCAGGAGAGGGATGCCAAGTTGGTAAAAAAAGAGAAAAAAAGGCCAGAATGGGCTGGCAAAGGCTTAGATCTGCCTGCAAGGCTCCTTCCAAGCCCTGGGCTACTCAGTGCCATCCCAGGACTCATCAAGGACGGACCAGCCCAGCACCCAGAGGCCCAGAGGCCCCAGTCAGGGGCGGTCAGGCCAGGGAGAGTGCCTGTAAGCTTAGAGCAAGGCAGCCCCAGGCAAATACCCTTTGGTCCGTGGTCCAGCATGTCCAGGAGTAGCAAACCCTCTCCGTCTAGATCCGCACTCCGTGCCTGCCCTGTGCATGGCAGCTGTAGGTCAGAGAAGGAGGCAGCGCCCAGCTTGAGTGCCTGGCCTGCTGGAGAGAGAGTTCTCAGCACCCTCTCTCCCCTCCCCCTGCCTAGGCCAACCATGGTGACCACCAATAAGGTGCGGGTCAGGTGGGGAGAGCTGGGCTCAGGCGTTTGGGACACTTGGGACTTGCTCCATTCCTCCCTGTCCCCCACCCCTGTACTCCAAGGCACTGAGACGAGGGATGGGGAACAGGCGGTATGTCCATGCTCCTCTCACCCAGCTGGGGTATGTCGCTCACTCTCTCTGGTTTCCTTCCTTCTCCTCCCGACTGGGGACTCCCTGCACTGGCTCCAGAGACCTTACCCACCCCATTCTGCTCAGTAAGGTCTAGAAGACTGGCCCTAGTCTTTTAGTCCTGATTCTGGGCCTCAGTTTCTCCACCTGCATAATCGGGGAGGGTGCTGGATGGCTTAGCTTTGTTTCCGGCTAAGACTTGGGTGGCTAATGAGGAGGAGCCTGGCCAGAGCCTCTGCCACCTGCTTTGTCCTCTGGGCTCAGGGGGAAGAGAGCAGCTGGAGGGGCGCTCCAAGCATCTAGGGGCCAAGGGAGAGCCAGAGGATGAAGGCTGTGCAGAGAACGAGGTCAGAGAATGAGGGATGAGCTCAGGCTGGTAGAAGAGGGGAGGGGAGGGGGGGAAACAGAAATGGGAGGAGCCAACAGATCCTAGAAGCCAAGTGTTTGCAGAGGGAAGGGCAGCACCAGCACCCCACCTCCAGATAAGGAACCCCACCAGCTGACTGAGGGGTGTAAAGACCAGGAGGCCCACAGACTAAGCTGAACCCAGCCTCGCCAGGGCTTAAAATCCCCCATTAGTGAGTCATGGCTTTAGGGTAAGGGGAGAGCCCTGAGGAGAGGAGCCGAGTTATCAGTCAGGAGGGTGGAAAGGGAATGAAACACAGAGAGACCCAAGATGGGGCAAAACAGGGGGACAGAGGTGGGCTCCTGCCCTGAGAAGAGGCAGCAGGTGAGCAGCCCAGGGGTGGCTTTCAGGAAGAAGGAGAAGCTGAAACTCTGTCTTGGGCTGGCACAGGCCATAGGCGGACATCCAAGCTGCCTATGAGGTAGGGGTGGAGTGGGGCTGACCACACAAAGAATTTCTCCTGCACCCCCTCTTCCCTCCAGCTCTAGGGGCCCCTCCTGCCTTGCAGGGCACTTATCAAGCCAGACCAGCTCATCTCTATCGCCACCTGGTGGGTACCTCAAGGACTTCCCCAAGGTTGGCTTAGGTCCCCAAACACCTGGGAGGCCAGATGACACCAGGGGCAGGCCTCTCTCGCCTCAGCTCCATTTCAGAGTGAGATAGAAGAGGAGGAGATGGGGAGGCGACAGGCCTGGTGACGCCAAGGATCCAGGAGACCAGAGCCTGGCCCTTGGACCCAGGCCCCTGACCACCGTGGCACACAGACCCCAGCTGGGTTCCCCGCAGGCTCGGCCCTCGCCCTTGACCAAGCTCTGACCCAGTCCTTGTAGACAAAAGCCAGTTAACTCAGGGGGTCACCTCCTGGGAAGACAAGTGCAAAGGGTCTCCCACCATCCTGGCGGAGAGGGCCACCGTCGCCTTGATGGCCAAGGGTGACATGTGGCTGGTTCCTGCCACTCCAGGGAGGGCAGCCAGTCTGCCATCAAAGTGGATTGGGAGCAGCTTCCCAGGTGAGGTGACATCGGGAGGTGACGTCTCTGAGAGCTGGGTAGGAGTCCGTGGGTCCCAAGGGCGTGTGATGAGCGCAAGGAACACCTGAGTCCAGGTGAGCAGGTGCTGGGGCCCTTTGCAGCAGGAGCCCAGTGCAGGCTTCTTCAGTGAGGCCAGAGGAAGAGGGT